AATATAAATAAATTTTATTCTAAAAATCAAATATTATATATAATAAAATAAAAAAATTAAAAATGATAAAAAACAATAAATATTTTAATATTATGTAAATTAATAGTTATTTACCTTAAATTTAGATATTAAAGAAAAAATAAAAGATTACTATGAATAAATGTACTATAATTACCAAAAAAATCGAAAAATCAAACCATGGCTAACTTGTTATTCAAATAAGTTATGAGCCTATGCCTATAAAAATAACTAAAGGTTACACCATATTAAATTATGTTTGTAAAAGAATATTTGTATAATAAGAAAACTACTTGATAATTTTATAGAAACATCTAATGTATATTTCTAAATACTTTTAAAAGTATATCAATCAACAGTAAAAAAAATTTCCTTTTATTATTCAAGGGAGATTTACAAACAACTAATTAAAAAAATTTATATGTACTATGTTATTAAGGAAGTGCTATGTATATTTAGATATTTCTTAATACTAGAATCAACTTTTAAACTAATCAATAAATAAATAAAATTATAGAGATATATAAATGTTCTTTAAACTTACAAAAAGTAGTAGAAGTGTATTAAAAATATTATAGTTGTAATTCAGAAGAAGTATTATAACTTAAAATATATAATTTATAAATAAAAAAAAATTTAATTTTGTAAATTATAAAAATTATATTTTATTGATTTCTTTAAATATGCTGCAAAAAAAACACAAAGTTATCAAAAAAAGCAAAAATTAATTTTAAAAGAAAATAGAAAAATAAAAAAATATAAAGATAAATATAATTTATTTATAATCTTTTATATTTTATTTATTAAAATAAAATAAAAAGATAAAAAAAATAAAAATATATATAATATTAATATTTAAAATAAATATATATATATATATATCTATATATATATATATATATATATATTAATATATATATATTTATATTTAAATATTTATTTATAATATATATTTTTTTAATATATATTTTTTAATTTTTTTATACTATATTTTTTTAATTTTTTTTTTATTTTATATAATAATAATAAAAACATATTATTAAAAAGTTCATAAAAAATTAATATATTTTAAAATTGATTGGTTTATGCATTATTTTTCTTGTATATATTATCCATATTCGAAACTTACTTATAATTTTGTTTGTCATATATTTTTTTATATTATTATTTATATAATTATATTAGGAAATTGCTATTTAAATTAAAAAAACAAAATTAATATATGTTTATATTTTAATTTTAATAAATAAGTTTCGAATTATCCATATTACGAAATAATATAATAAACAGATATAGCTCATCTTTTTTTATTAAATTAGATATTTATTTTATCTTCGGCAGCTGGAATAATATCATACACATCATAAAAATACATAAATAAATCTTATTCAATTTTTTCAGAAATATTTTAAGCTTTAAATTAAATCTTTTTCAGTTAAGTGTATTTTTTCTATAGAATTTTTTTATATTTATATATCCTTTTTTTTTTTACATTTTCCTTTTTTTTTATTTTCTATAAAATATTTTTTTCCCGCTTCAACAAAGATTTTTCTATATTTTTTTTTTAAATTATATATTCAATTTTCTCAGTCAATAATTTGATATATTTTTTATTATAATAAATTATTTCGAATCAAAATCTATTACAAACAATAATAAAATATTTAATTTTTTAACTATAAAATTAATATTTTCAGTAAATATTAATTATAAATAATTAAAATTTTTTTCAGTAAAAATATATAAAAAAAAATCTTTTAAATTATTTAATTAAATTAATTTTTTATTGTAAAAATTATTATATATTATTTATATAAATTTTAATAGTCTTAATATAAATTAAATAATTTTTAAATATTTTTAATTTCAATATATCATTTAAATATTATTTTTTATATAAAAATTTTAATTAATATAATTTCATTAATCTTTTAAATTCTGTTAAAATTTTAAATATTATATATAAATAAAAGTCATTTATGATTATTTTAATAGATTAATATTATTTTCGAAAATAAAAAATATATAAAAAAGATAAGTAATATAATTAAAGTTAAACACAATATCAAATAAAACAAAAATTAAATTGAATACTAAGATTAATATTTTTGATGGTAACTACTAAGAGACTAAAATTAATTATAAAATATTTATTTAAATAATAAAATAAAATAAAATTATAAAAATTATCTCTTATAAATTATTTTATGTTTCAATGCATATAAATAAATAAAAAATTAAATGAAAATTATCAACTTTTAAATTAACTTTTCAATAAATAAAAATAAATATTCCGAAATAAAATAATAAATAGACAAAAATATAATTTATAAAATATAAAAAAAGTATATAAAAGATAAAAAAAAGTAATAAATATTTATTTTTATAATATATTAATTATATTATTAATAATTAATTAATTTCTATACATTTATAATCATATAATTTATTAAAATCTAAATAAATTATATAATAAATTAATATATATTTTAATATATTATTCATTTATATATACAAAAAAAATTAATTATATATATATATTTTTTTAAATAAATAATAATGATTTTAAATAAATTTTATTTAATATTAAATATAATTAATAATTAAATTATATTTTTTATTATTTATAACCATACAATTTTTTTTTTTATATTTATTATAAATCTTAATTTATCAAAAAAAAAGCATCTAATGAATTAAAATAAAAAAATTCCCCAATAAAGATAAATATCTTTAAAAATATTTTCATATATATTATGAAATTATAGAAAATAAATATAATATAAATACAAATTATATTATGAGTAATTATTATAATAATTAATCTTAAAAATAAAATAAAAATGCTTAGAATACTGATTTTAATAAGTATCTTAATATTTGGTAAATTTATCCATTCTCACAATAAATATAGTCATGATAGTAAAGAAATGCAAGATTAATATGAGAAAATTCACGAAACTTAGAAAAAAATGGAAAAATCAAACTATGACTAACGTATTCTTTAAACAGATACCGAATCTAAACCTATAAGAATAACTATGGATTACTCCATGTTGAATAATTAAGATGTAACCGAATAATAAAGAAGCTACTTAATAAATCTTATGGAAATATCCTAACTTTATTTCTAAAAACTACTGAAAGTATAACCTTTAAAAGAAAATAATGTTTTTCCTTCGATGTATAATGGTAAATGTATTAAATATGACGTTCCTTCCTAACATTTTTCAGTCGGAATTCCTAATTCTGATTTACATATATATGTCATTTATTAAAATTAACCAAATGATTAATAAACTGTAATTGCTAATTATTGTGCTCTTGCTTAATAAGGAATCATTAGACCTATTTTCGGATACATTAGTTATAACTTATCAAATATAAGTGGAGAAACAACAGATTTCTAGAAAAATTTGAAAGAAACTTATCGTGAAATTTTAAATATACTTGGTGTCTCAAAACTCGGTATGTACAATTGGATAGATCCTTAAACTAGAGAAAAATATGGTAAAGAAAACCTTTCTAAAATTTTAAGGAAAAAAAAAATCGAAAAGGAAAAATAACAAGAACAAGAGCAAGTACAAGAACAAGAAAAAAAAAAAAAGAAGAAACAATAGAAATTTTAACTTCCAAAAACATAGTAGAATTTACAAGAAAATATTATAATTGTGCTACAGCTGAAGGAATGAAAATTTAAAATGAAGTAATATATATATATATATATATATATATATATATATATATATATATATATATATATATTATATATATATTATATATATTTATTAAAAAAATATTATATAAATTAGTAATTTTAAAAACAATTCGATTTTCGTTGGGACTTAAGTATTCTTTATAATGAAATTATGAATAAAAATAAAGTATAGACTGACAGTGTTTTTTCTATATTTACAATTGCTGCTTTGAAAGACACAGGCTTTTATGCTGAAGTAAATGAGAATATGGCTGAGAAAATATTCTGGGGTAAAGGAAAAGGTTGCGATTTCTTAGAAAACACTTGCTAAAGTAAAATTTAATACGATGAATATCCTCAATTAGTTGATAAAGAGTAATGTTCATTTGATTATGAAAGAATTGGTATTCCTATATTCTAAGAAATAAACAAATGTAATATTGTATTAGGCTTTTATAATGATAGATTGTGCACAAATCCGAATATTGTAAGTGATTAAGATGTAAGAGAAAAAGAATAGGATAAATTATCTAATTATTCAACTCAAAGTAAATGCTTCAAATCTACAGCTACAAAGTCCTCATCTACGAATTAGTATCCAGATGTATCCAGATGCCATTAATTCTAATGTTCCTCAGATGCATCTCAAATAACTGTTATTTTCCCCGAGATTGATTTATAAGTTTTATGTGGAAAAGGGGAATAAAATATATAAAAGGATATCGATCCAAGTGGCCTAAAAGCTTAAGGTAAATTAACATGTCCTTAAGATTATGAAAGATTTTGTAATTATGCACCTATATGTCCAAATTTTTGTTCCTAAAAAGGAGTTTGTGTAAACGGTCAATGCATCTGCTAAGACGGATTTGGAGGAGTTGATTGTTCCATAGAATGCTCCGGAGTAGTCGATAATAATACTTGTTTAGAAGGATAATGTCCTTAAGGTAAATTCTTAAACCCAGATAATACTTGTAAATCAGATTGTCCTTCAGGTTCATTCGGAAAGGCTGGAATATGTAAACCATGTAATAGAAATTGTTCTAGATGTAAAGGACCATCAGCTAATGAGTGCACTTAATGCTAATTTATGACATTATTGTAAAAAAACTAGTGTGTCAATAAATGTGATGAAAAACAAGGATATTTTCCTAATTATGATTCGGGTATTTGCGAATATCTTATGTCAAATATTTGTGAAGGAAATTGCTAAATTTGTTAAAAAAGTAATTAAAATATGTGCATTATTTGCAAAAGAGGCTTTTATTATAATGACGATAATAAGTAGTGCTTAAGTGAATGTCCTAATGGATTTTTCGAAAACTAAAAAACTTAGAATTGTGAGAAGCTTTCATAAGGATGTATTTAATAAAACAATCCTAATACATGTTCTCAATGCGATACTACTAATGGATTTAGAATGACTTTAGATAAGAAATGCACTTTATGTTAGTCACCTTGCTCCTAATGTGATCCTAATAATTTATCTTTATGTTTCGCTTGTGATGATGATGGTTATTATTTTGATAATGAAAATAAAACATGTAAAGAAAATTCTTCAGGAGAATCTGAAATAAAATGCCCTGATGGATGTAAGAAATGTTCTTAATCTGGAGAATGCTTGTCTTCTAGATTTTTACTTTAGGCTTAAGCTGATAATTAATAAACAAATAGTTACTAAGGACTCGTTATTTTTATTGTTAATTATGTTTTTTTTGGATTATTATTGTGATAATTTTGAAAAAAAGCAAGAAAAAGTATATTTTAGTATATATATATTTAATTATACAATAGAATATTTTTATTTTTTTAAAAAAAACCATATATTACCTTTATATATCATTTAATATTTATTTTTACAAAATATTGATTTTTAATTTTTTATAAATTGAATTTAATAATAAATATAAGTTGAGATTATTATTCTATTTAAAACTAAATATTTTATAATAAAAATATGAATTGTAAATTAAAATTATAGAATTTTTAAATAAAATTTATATCAAGAAAATTTAATATAAACTATAATTTTTTTTTATATAAAAATATATTATCAAATTAATAATAAATATATAATTTTTTTTAAATTATAAAAATTTATTATTTAATTTTTTTTTTTTAAATATATTTTTATTTAATTTATTATTTTATATTTTTAATATATGTTTATTTATATAATATTAAATCTAGATTTATTCTATTTATTAATTTTTCTTTTATTATAATTAGAAATCAAATATTTATTGACTTTTTTGAATTTTGAATTTTTAGATTTTATTTTACAAAGTTTTTTTTTTAATTTTTTAAATAAAAATTTAACTTAAAAAAATTTCGAACTTATTATTATTAATTTAAAAGAAAAAATTTATTATTTTAATTTTTTTTTATTTTTATCATTAAAAAAAATTCAATTAATTTATTCTATATTTTAATATCTTTATAATTTATTCATATTTTACTTTTTCTAAAACAATTTAAAGTAATTATTTATTTTATCTATTTTACTAAAAATTATATTTTAATATTTTTTATAATTATTTTCCAAAAAAAATATATATATTTAAAACATTTTTACTTTTTTGTTGAATTTAATAATTTTAATACTTAAAATCTAATTTTATAATATAATTTGTAATTTGTTTTGTGGTATATAGAATTTTTTATTTCTTATTTTCTAATTAACTTTTGTTGTTATATTTATTTTCATTTATATTAATTTTATTAATTTTTAAATGAATTAGAATATTATTAAAGGAAAAATTAGTATTATAATAGATATTCCACATGTGATACAAATGGAATGTGTATAATATGTTAGCTGAATCATTATTAAGATCATATTTATATTAAAAGTTAAAAATATAAAATATATTTTAAATACATTAGTCAATCCCTATAATATGATTCAATTTAATACACTTAATAGATATTTTTAAGATGAGTCTTTAAAATAATGCAAAATAATCTCTACTTATAAATTTTTAGGCTTAAGGCAATAATTAATAATAAAATAGTTATTTAGGAATTTTGGTAAATTATATATTTAATTTTTTGTTGTTGCTTTTATCTATCTATTTTTTTATTTTTTTTTAATTTAACATATCTGAAATTAAAAATATATAAGTTCTTTCTTTATTTTATTTAGATTTGAGGCTTTTATAAAATTATAGTATTAAATTAATTATTATTTAAAGTATTTTATTAAAAAATAAATTTTATTGACTAATTTTAATATTTATTATATTAGTGGAATATTATAGAATATTATAATTAATTATATTTTATACGTTGGTAAAACACATGTAAACCTAAAGCAAACATTTATTCATTTATCTGGATCGTTTTTGTGTTTTTCTTAAAATGCATTTTAGCTAAATATTCTTATTTATATTATAAATTATAATATTTTCTTTTTATTTATTATTTTATATAAGTATATTTATAAATTCAAATTATTTATTAAAATTTATGTATAAATAATAATTACCAATATATTTTAATTAAAAGATTAAATATATTTATAATACATCATTATTAATTTTTACAATATTTTTATTATTATTATCAAGCTAATCTATATAAATTATATGTTATCTGCTGTATTAAATTCATTAATTGTAAAAGATTTAGTAAAATTATCTGTACTAAATGTCATACTGGTTATTTATATTATGATTTAGCGAAATAACGTTAATAAATTATCGATAATGAATACCCTATAGGATATAAAGTATTTTCAGTATCTGGTAAATATTTAAATAGTTATTAATGAATCTTTAAATTTTTGTTTGTTTGTTTGCCTAATCTACTGATTGTTTACAAAAATAGCAAATTAAAAGATTATTATTATATTATTATGTTTATATATAATATATTTTTTTTATTATAGCTTTTATATAAATTTAATTAATTAATATTTATTTTTTACTAATTTATATGTATTTATTAGTTTTTAATTATTAGTTTTTTAAATATAAATTTCAATATAAAGAGATATTTTAATATAATTATAATTTTTTTAATAATAAATTAATAAATATTTTATTTATTTATAAATCATAATAAATATTAAATCAAAAATATATATTTTGAAAATTATTAATACAAATTCATTTAATATTTTTAATTATTAAAATTTATATATATGTGTCTAATTTTTTTTTAATTCTTTTATTTTTAGATAAATATTATAAATAGTTTTTTATCTTTATTTTAAATAAACTTTAATGTTATTTATAATATTTTAATTATTTGTTAAATTTAAAAAAATATATTACTCAAAATATTTTATAAAATACTTTTAGGCTTTTTTTTATGGTAAATAGATTGCTTTATTCTTATTTTTTAATCGAATTTTACTATTTATAAATTTTATTTATTTAAAAGCAAGTTACAATATGATAGCCTTAAAAATTGCTATTATTTTAAAGGCCAAAATTTCCAATATTTTTATATATATTATAAAAACTATTTTTTTATTTTATAAATATTTATAATTAAAATTTTATAAAATATATTTAACAAGTTTATAAATTATATTATTATTTAAATTAAAACAATAAATTATTTTAAAAATAAAACTATATTCACAAAAAAATAAGAATTAATTAAAATAAAATAAAAATTTTATATATAAATATTTTTATTTTATTTATAAAACAAACAAACAAAATGATTCATTTTTTAGATTTTCTATGTCCAGAAATTGATATAATCTATTTTTTCGATAATTAAACGTTATGTAATTCTTCAGGTTCAAGTAATTACATTTTTTCTTAATATTCCTATATAGAAATTTTTCCTTATTTTAATTTTTTTACTAGTCTTAATTCTTCATCATAATCGTCTTATTCTACTTCTAAATTCGCCCTTTTTTATTTTCTTCTGACTTATCTTTAATTTTTCTCTTTTTATTTCTTTTCTAATTTTTCTTGTTCCTTTTAAATTCTCTTTTCTTTTTCAATTCTTTCTATTTATCTTTTTTCTACTTTTTATTTAAATTGATTTTCTTAATTTTTATCTTAAAATTTTAATTCTTCCAAATCAATTTCATTATTTTATTTGAAATTCTCGATTTTTTTCCCTAATATTTCTTTTATTCTTGGTAATCTTAATAAAAAAAAAGACCTTGCAACCCAACCAATATCCAAATTTTTATATTAAAATATATATTTAAGCTTTTTATTTTTTTTGTTAAATATATATATAAATAAAAAATATATTATATAAAATATCTACATCATATATGTTCTTTATATGATCTTATATATGAAATAAAAGCTTTTTTGCTTTTTTCAATAAAATCTCTATCTTAAATCATTGTTTAAATAAACTACTTTTCATATTTAAGAGGATCTACATCAATTTATTAGTCATTATTATATTAATTAATTTCCACCTTTTTTTAAAAAAATAAAATAATTAAATATAATATTTTACTTATTTTAATTTTAAAAAATTTATGAAAGTTTCTTCGTGTTATTCAATTAAAATAATTGCCTAAATTAATTATTTTATCAAATATTTTTTTTTATGAAAATATATTACTTTTCCAGTATTTCCTTTTCTAGCAGTTCTTCCTATTCTATGTATAAAATAATTAGGATCCTAAGATATAAAATTAAATTTTTTTTAAATAAAAAAAAAAAAAACTTAAGGAGGATCAACTTATAAAATATATCCCACATTTTCAAAATCTATACCTCTAGCAACGACATCAGTACAAAATAAAATTCCTATTTTGGCTTTTGTAAAATTCTAAATAATTTTATTTCTTTTATTTTATTTCATTTATCCATGGATTGCACTTATAGACATTTTTTTAGTAATAGAAAATTAACAAAAAATTTTTTAATAAAAATCTACACTAGCGCAAGTATTTAAAAAAACAATAATTTTTTCATTTTAAAATAAACTTAAAAAACTAACTAAAAATCCTATTTTTTCAAATCTATTTTAAACTAAAAAATATTCATTTTTTAATGTATTTGGTATAATATAATTCTAATTATCAGCAGATTCTCCTCCAGGCTTTGTATATATATATGAAAACAAAAAAATATTTAATAATATATATAAAAAAAAATACTTTAATAGAAATCTTAACAGGATTTCTCATTCCAACTTTAATTAAATCTATTAATTTTGTAGAACTTAGTGTAGCTGAAAAAAGTCCTGTTCTTCTTTATTTTGGTAAGTTTTATAAAATAAATTAAATATCTTCATAATAGTCATTGTCCATTAATCTATCAGCTTCGTCCATTATTAAAATTTCTAAATTTTTTATAATTAAAAATTCGCAGTTTAAATTAATTAATTCTTTTAATTTTCCTGGAGATGCTATTAATATATTACATCCAGTTTTTTCTAAATTTTAAACGTCTATTTACGTATTATGTCCTCCTATACATAATTAAAGTGAATACTTAGGAACATTTTATATTTTATCTAATAATTTTTAACAAATTTCGTGAATTTATATGGCTAATTCACGTGTAGGTGCCATTATAAGGCCATATAAGTTGTATTTTTTGGGTTTTATAACGTTTTTAATTAATATATGTAATAATGGAAGCAAAAAAGCTAATGTTTTACCACTCCCTGTTTGTGCTTCAACAGCTACATCATAATTTTAGATAAATAAAGGAATAGAAGCTTTTTATACAGGCATAATTGTGTGAAAATCAAAAGATTAAATTATTGAATAAACTATTTCTGGATGTAAATTTGGAGTTAATTGATTCCATTTTAAATTCAATTAAGCCATTTTATTAATATAAAATTTTTAAATATTATTTTAGTTTTAGACAATAATATAAAATATAATATATAATATATATAATTATTTTTTTTGAAAATAATATATTATAAATATTATAATAAAAATTATTAGATCTTTATTTTTATAAATTATTAAAAAACATTAAATGATTCTTAAATAATTGATAAAAAAAAATATATAATAAATAAAAAATTATTTTATATCAAAAATTAAAAACAAAAAAATATATAATATAGATTATAAATAAAAAACATATAAAATAATATATAAATATAATTAATTTAATTTAATTTAATTTAATTTAATTTAATTTAATTTAATTTTTATGAAGTTTTTATATTATATAAAAAAAAATATAATCATTATTTAATTTCATTAAAATTAAAATATTTATTTGTATATTTTTTTTTTTTAATGTATTAAATATTATTTATTATATATTATAATTATATAAGATTATTAAATATAAAATTATTAATATAAATTATTTCATTTTCTTTATAATATACATTTAAAAAATATTATTTTTCGTAATAATATTTTATATAATATATACATTTTATTTAAGATTATATTTTATCAATCTCTAAATCTTATCGAGAACCTTTTTTTTAATCTTTATTTTTATATAATTTTATCTTACTAATTTATTCTTAATGACAACTATAACAATTTATACAATGATCCAATAATATTTAAAATATACTGAATTAAGTTTATTATGTCATTTCATTTATTTTGGAAACATCTTCTTTTGTTTTTATGTTTGAAATACATATTTAAAAGATAAATCATAAATAGTTTTTAATAATTATAAAACAAACTTCTTAATTAATTTAAAAATTTATTTAATGAAAAAAAAAATATAAAAAAGAATAAAGAGAGAAATTAAAAAGTGTATATAAATATTATTAACCTATATCAATAATTAAAATATAATCTAATATTAAAATTAAACCTAAATTTTATATTTAATATTTAAAATAATTATAAAAAATATTAAGTATTAAAAGATATGTTTTTGAAATTATTAAAAATAATGAATTTTCAATATAAAAATATTAAATTTAATTTTTATTCTTAATAAAAAAAGATATATTATTTTATAATAATTTATTATATAAATAAAAAAAAAATATAATTATTATTAATTTAAAGTATTTTACTAAAAAATTATATATATTAATTATTAATTTATTTCATATATGTTTTTAACTTAAATGAATATAAAATAATCCAACCTATTTAGTAAAAAAGTTAATTTAATAAAAAAAATTATTCATTCAATAAAATTGAAAATTCTAAAATAAATATTTTTAAATTTATAAAATAAAAATGAATATAATTTGTTTAAAAAATAAACTAAAATAAATTATAAAAAAACTTAAAAATAATTTATATATATTAAAATATATATATTCTTTTTAATTATCACAATACTAATCCTATATATTATTTAGCAAATAACAAATGTATAGACTATTTAATAATAATTATATAATTAATCATTATCTTTAACCTAATGTAAAAAATCTAGAAGTTGAGATTTATTTGTATTATTTTGTAGATTCATTTATTAAATATCAAGTATTTTTATTTTTTTAAATACTTTCACTTATCCAGAATTTCATTTCATATTTTTCTATTTTCTAAAATATTTCTATTTATACAATACATAGATAAATTAAATAAAATAAATGAAAATATTTTTTCCAAATTCTAAAAAAAAAATATAAGGAATTTAAATCTATATTTATTTCGTTAAGAAATATAGATATAAAGATTTTTGAATTGTGTTTTATATTTTTTTATTACTATTTAAACCTTAATAGTATTTTTTTTCAAATTCAATTTTACATTTTATTTAAAGAATCTTAATTAATCAATAAATCTAAAATAATGGAAAATCAATTTTTTTTTAAAAAAAATATTAAATAAAATATTTAATTTAGATATTAGTATTAATTGAATAAACATATATACTTTCATTATTTTTTAGAAATTAAATTAAGTAAATGTTATTTATTTATATTAAATAGCTTGATTTTAAAAGATAATATTCACATTAATTAATATAATAATTACTAATATATTAAAATTAAAACAAACAATAATAAAAGATTTGGTAATATATATTAATTTAATTATATATATATATATATATATATATATATATATATATATATATATATAAATATATATATGATGAATGTTTTTTTTTTTAAAAAAAAAAATGTAAAAAGAATAAAAAAAATATAGAATAAACGAAACTAAAAAATGATATTATAAATTAGAATTAAATTTAAAAGTTCATGCTAATTATTATGAATAATTATAAATTACAAAAAAATAAAATAAGTTAAAAAATAATTATTAAAAAAAAAACAAAAATGTAAAGTTAAAAATAAAAAATATTTTATGTTTTTAATCATCCGAAATATAGATTTTATCATTTTATGAAGAAATAAAACAAATAAAATCTATTTTTTTTTTTTTAATTTAATAAAATATTTTCTTTTAAATATATATTAATTTTTTATTTATTAGAATACATATTTAAATTTTATTTTTATTGAATTTATTTCAATGGTTTTTATATTATTTTAAATTAGTCAACTAATTATTATTTAAATTAAAATATGTCAATAAAAATTTAATAAAAAATGTATAAACTAATTATAAAACAAGCGTAAATAAAAAAATTATATATAACTATATTAAATCAAATTATTATATTTATAAGTATGAAAAATTTATAATATTAAATAAAATAATTTTGAATTTCTCTTAATTAATATTAATTAATTTTATATTAAATAATTATTTTTTTTAAACTTTAATTAATATAAAAATATTAAATATTTATTATATTATATTAATATAAATAAAAATATGAATATAATTATTTATACTTTATAATAATTTTTAAATTTTAACTAAAAAGAAATATATTTATTTTTTTAATATAAAATAAAATACGATTATTAATTTTTAGAAATCTTTATAATTTAAAAATAAAAAAATAATAATATAAATATAAAATGTTTAAAAAGTATATTTTTTAAAAATATATATAAAATTATTTTAAAAATTAATATATATTTTTTATTTTCTAAAAAAACAAAAATATAAGAAAAAACAATTTTTTTTGTTTTATAAAAAAATTAACCTATATTAAACACTGATCAAATAAAATAATATTTATATTATAATATTTTTATTTATTATTTTAATTTATTATAAATTTTATTATTATTATAATTTTACATTTATATTGATTTAATATATATATATTATAAAAAAATGAATAACATAATATTTTATATTTATTTAGAATCAATAAAAAGATAATTTAATTTTTTTCATTATTATCAATTTATATAAAAAAAACGTCAAACGAAATAAAAATCTTTTTAAAATTAAAAAATATGATTTTAATCATTACATATATTTGTTAAAAAAAATGATTAAAATAATATGCATTTTTATTTAGAACTAAGAAAAAGTTAATTTAATTTTATCATAAATCTTAATTTATTAAAAAAAACTTCAAACGAAATAAAAATTTTCAATATGAAAAAATAAAATTTAAATTATTACATATATAGTTAAAAAAAAGCATAATAAAGCAAAAAAATAATGAAATAAAAAAAAAATCTAAATATAATATAAAGAAATTATAATATATATAATTAAAAAAATTAAAAAAAAATAATGTTTAAAAAATTAATTTTAATAATTATCTTGATATTATGTATATTGAACCATACCTACTGTAAATGTGGTCATGACAGTAAAGAAATGCAATATCACTATTAGAAAATGCATGAAATTTACGTAAAAAGAGTAAAATAAAATCATGGTTAACGTATTCTTTAAGCAGGTTCCGTGCCTTAACCTATAAGAATAACTGCAGATTATTCCAAGCTTAATTAAGGAAATATAACCAAATAATAAAAAAAATATATAAAAAATCTTATTGAAACATGCAAGCTTTATTTCTAAAAACTTTTGAAAGTATATCCATTAATAGGAAATAACATTTTTCCTTCGGCGTATAATGGAAAATGTATTGATATAAAAGTTAATCAAAATGATAAAAAAATGGGAGTTCCTAATTCCGATTTACATTTATATATCATTTATAGTGATAGCAATAGTTAGGTAATTGCAGATGCTGGTTGTTGTGCTGTTGCTGAAGTAGGAGATCCTAGACCTATTTTTGGAAGAGTTAATTTTTACTTAACAAATATGAATAAATCTATTGGTAATTCAGAAACTTTTTAGTATGACTTGAAAACTACTATTCATGAATTTTTACATATACTTGGTTTTGCAGGAGAAATTATGCGCTTTTGGATAGATCCTGATACTGGAGACTTTTATGGAGATAACTTTGAAAACAAGTTATTAAAAAAGAAATTATACAGAGGAAAATAAGTCAATATTTTAACTTCCAAAAATGTGTTAGAAGTTACTAGAAAATATTATAATTGTCCTACAGCTGAAGGAATGTAACTTGAAAATGATGTAAAATAAATATATTTAAATATTTAAAAAAATTAATTTATGAATTAGGATAATGTACGTTTAAATACTTCTCATTGGGAAAGAACTGTTATTTATAATGAAATAATGACTGGAACTTAATTATATACTTAAACTGCTTTTTCAATATTTACAATTGCTCTTTTGAAAGACACAGGCTTTTACCCTGAAGTAAATGAGAATATGACCAATAATATATTCTGGGGAAAAGGAAAAGGTTGTGATTTTTTGGTAAACGCTTGCTAAAGTACAATTGAATACCCTGAATATCCTAAAATATATGATAAAGAGTAATGTATGTTTGAATATGAAGGAATCGGAGTCGGCGTAGCTGAAGTATATGCAGACAAATGTCCTATAATATACTTTTACCAAAATAGATTGTGCACAAATACTAATAGTGTAAGTAAGGAAGATGATAAAAATCAAGAATAGGATAAATTATCTAATTATTCAACTCAAAGTAAATGCTTCTAATCTACAGCTACATAGTCCTCCTCTAAAATTTAATATAAAAGTGAATACAGATGTCACTAATACAAATGTTCCTCCGATGCTTCTGAAATATCTGTTATTTTCCCCGATATTGATTTAAAAGTTTTATGTGGAAAAGGAGAATAAAATATATAAAAGGATATCGATCCAAGTGGCTAAAAAGCTAGAGGTAAATTAACATGTCCTTAAGATTATGAAAGATTATGCAATTATACTTCTATATGTCCAAATTTCTGTTCATTAAGAGGAGTTTGTGTTAACGGTCAATGTATCTGCAAAGCCGGATTCGGAGGAGTTGATTGTTCTATAAATTGCTCGGGAGTAGTTGATAATGAAACCTGTATACAAGGCACATGTCCATAAGGCAAATATTTAAACCCAGATAATACTTGCAAATCAGATTGTCCTTTAGGCTCATTCGGAAGGGCTGACAAATGTGAACCTTGTGATAGCAGTTGTTCTAGATGCACAGGACCATCAGCTACTGAGTGTACTAAATGTTAGTTTATGACATTATTGTAAGGAAATTAATGTGTAAATAAATGTAATGAGGAATAAGGATATTTTCTTAATTAAACTTTAGGTATTTGTGAATATCTTTGGTCCAATACCTGTTAAGGAAATTGCAAAATTTGTTAAAAAAATAATTAACTTTTGTGCGTTACTTGTATAGAAAGTTTTTTTTTTTATAATATGTAGTGTTTAAGTGAATGTCCTTTTGGATTTTATAAAAACTAAGAAACTTAAGCTTGTGAGAAGCTTTCCTTAGGATGTATTTAATAAAATAATCTTAATACATGTTTACAATGTGATACTGCTAATGGATTTAGATTAGGTTTAGATTAAAAATGCACATTGTGTTATTAACTTTGCTCCTTATGTAATCCTAATAGATTAACATAATGTTTTGTTTGTGAGGGAAGTAAATTAGTAAGTATTGATGGTAGTTGTGTAGATGAATGTCCTGAAGCTAGTTATTATTCTGACAGAAGAAAAAAATGCTAAGAATGTTCTATAGGATGTTAAAAATGTAATTATATTGGTTGTAATTAATGTTATGATGGTTATTATGTTTATTATGAAAATAGATATTGCTAAAGATGTGTTTATAAATATCTAAATTGTCAATCCTGTGATTATTACTAATGTAATAAATGTATGGATGGATATTAGTTAAATTCAACTAAAAGAGAGTGCAAAGCGATTTCTTCAGGAGGATCAACAGGTGAAATTACTGAAACATAATGCTCTGAGGGATGTAAGTAATGTTCATAATCTGGAGAATGCTTATATTGTAAAGCTGGATTTTATCAAGATTAAGAAAGTAAATCATGTGTTAAATGCAGAACTAAATTTAAAAATTGTAACAAATGTACCAAAACTAATTGTAATAGATGTGCTACTGGATTTCAATAAGATTAGAATTAAAAATAATGCATATAAAATCCTATTACAAGTGAAAATACAGGAATAGAATGCCCTTAGGAATGTAAGAATTGTTCTTAATTTGGATAATGCATAGAATGTTAAGATGGTTTTTATGATTATTCGGTTGATAATCCAAGTATTAAAAATATAAAATGCCTTAGTTGTACTATTAAATTCAAACATTGTAGTTAATGTACTTCACTTCGTTGCTTAGAATGTCTTCCTGGATATTAATATTATGATTATGAAGATCTATGTATTAGAGTTATTGAGGTGAATAATACTATTGTTTGCAATAAGGGATGCACCTCTTGTAATTATAATGGAATGTGTTTTAAATGCTTAGATAGTTTTTATTAAGACTATATATACATATAATTTTTTAAATATAAAGTATGTTTTGAATGTATTAATAAATTCAGTAATTGTTTAATATGTGATTAAATTTAATGTACTAAATGTAATAATGGATATCACTTAAATGATTCTACTAAATAATGTGAAACGATTCCACCTTCTAGATTTTTAATTTAGACTTAAGATGGTAATTAATAATAGAATATTTATTAATGACTTGTTACTTTTATTATTGGTTATTTTTTATTTATATTAATATTTTGATGATTTTGAAAAAACGCAAATAAATAAAAAGTTTATTGTATATATTTTTTTAAACATATGGAATTGTGTGTTTAAAAAAATTACAGAATAAAATAAAAGATAAAATATTTCAAATAAAAAGTGAAGTATTTATAATTTAAGACATTAAATATTTTTTTTAACTAAAAAGTATTTAATATTATTTTATTTTTATAAACTTACTTATATTTTTAATTTAAAAATAATAATAATTATATAATAAAATAGCATAGATAATTATTATTAATTTATAAGCTAATTTAATATATATTTTGTAAAAAATTAATTATAATAATATATATTTTTTATAAAAAACAATAAATTTTAAAATATATATTTAAATTTATTTTAAAAATAATTTTAAATAGCAAAACTTTAAAATTAATTATAATTTTTTTTTTTATATTTATTACAATTTTTTTTATCTAAATAATAAATAATTTTTTTATTTATAAACAAAAATATTATGTTTTAATAATTATATTGAATACTATTTTTTTAAAAAATATTTATTTTATTTTAATTAAAATTTTATATGAAATTTTTTTCCACATTAGGTTATTTATTAAATATGATATATAGATATAATTAAATTATTTATATTATTTTAAATAATTTTTATTATTTAAAATAAAATTTATATAATAATATTTATTCGGTTTTTAAAATTTTGAATTTTCTTTTTTTTATTTCACGTGTTTATTTTTTAAAATCAAGCTTTAATTAATTTTTTTTGTACTTGAAATTTTCTAAAATTAAATAAAATTTTAAAAATCAAAATAAAATTTTTATGATTCAAATTTATTTTATATATCTTTAATTTTATATACATTAATCAAAATATTTTTTTTATACAAATATTATATATTTTTTATTATTTTGATTTAAATATAAAATATAATACATTTCTATAATTTATATATTATAAGAAATCATACAAATCAGTGTTTTTTTTTGATTATTAAATTTATGTACTTTCCATTTTTATATCATTCTAAACTTTTAGAAATTACAATGATTAGCTACAATTATTTCTTAAATGTTTTTTTATTTTTTATGAAAAAAACAATATTTATATATATATAAATATAAATATATATACACACATATAATATTTTATAAATTTTATGAGAATTTTTTCTATAATCATTAATTTTTTTAAATATATAAAAATCAACCTGAATATAGTTACTACTAATATTTTATTTATGGAGGGTTTCTTGATTTTTTACCTGTAAATCTAAAATAGTAAGTCTTTAAATTATATATTTTATTTAAATTAGTTTTATTTAAAATTATTTTATTTAAATTAGTTTTATTTAAAATTATTTAATTTAATTTAATTTAATTTAATTATTTAATTTAATTTAATTTAATTTAATTTTTAATTTAATATATATTTAATTTTATTTACATTAAGATTTAGATTTAAAAAAAATAAAATAATAATTTTAAAAATCATATCTTTAAATAATATTTAATATTTTTAAAATGTTTTTAATATTAATAAAGATATATTTTTATAAAGAATTATTTAATTATAAATAAAACATGTCAAAAAAACTAATTTTAATTTTTACATTAATATTATGTAAATTGACCGTTTCTCACTGTAAATGTAGTCATTATAGTAAAGAAATGCAAGATCATTATTAAAAAATTTATAAAGATTATGAAAATTCAAATCATGACTAACGCATTCTTTAAACAGGCACCAAGCCTTAACCTATAAGAATAACTACAGATTATTCCATGTTAAATTAAGGAATAACCTAATAATAAAAAGAATACTTAATAAATCTTATGGAAACATCCAAGCTTTATTTCAAAAGACTTTTGAAAGTATATCCGTTAAAAGGAAATAACATTTTTCCTAAGGTATCTATAAGTTGTGCAGATGTATAAATTCCTTAAAATGATAAAATAAAAGGAGTTCCTAATTCAGATTTACATTTATACACAATTTATACTAATGAAAATAGTAATTATATTGCAAATGCCGATTTTTGTGCTGTAGCTAGTCAAGGAATTACTAAACCTATTTTTGGAAGAGTTAAATTTAATTTATTTAATATAGAACAATTTGGTGGAAATCCATCGACTTTTGAAAATGATTTGGAAACAACTGTTCATGAAATTTTACATATACTCGGTTTCTCAGATTCATCTATGCGTTTTTGGATAGATCCTGATACTGGAAAATCTTATGGAGCTAAATTTAAAGATAAATTGTTTAAAACAAAAATTTACAGAGGAAAAAAAACCACTATTTTAGTTTCCAAAAATGTAGTAGAAGTAACTAGAAAATATTATAATTGTCCTACAGCTGAAGGAATGTAACTTGAAAATGAAGTATATATAAGTATATATTTAAATATTAAAAAATATATATAAATTAGGGAGGTTCAGCTTCATTAATTCTCATTGGGAA